TGAATTCTCTTCTTTCTCCTTTCAGCTCCTTTGGCCTTTCAGAACCACTTTGATGCACTGTTTTCTCCCTTTTCTAGCTCATGGAGAGCACTTAATGTCTGTACTACACATCACATATTAATCTGAGTTCTTGGCTTCAAACTTCCAGAGACCCTTAATTAGCTTGTGGCTAATAAACTGTGACCACCACATGCCACTAGAAAGTTAGGAACTCTAATAAATATTTGTTAAATAAATGTCACTGTTTAAGTAAAACAGAAAGCACTAAAACTCAAAGTAGAGGAAAAAATGGCGAAAGTTATACCTATTGAGATATTCTTGTTTCATAAATTATCAGTTCTCTGACAATTATGTCAAGCAGTACTTCCAAGTCTTCCTCAATTCAATGGTTGATTGACATCTGTGGTAGCCAGCTTCCAAGATGGCTCCCAATAATCATCACCTCCTGATATATACCCTTCCCACACTAGTTCTGTGTGACCCACAGAGTACTGCAAAAGTGACAGATGGCTGGCTGTGTGACCTTGGGCAACAGATGTGAACTTTCTGAGGTTCAGTTTTCCTCACCTTTATTTTTATTTTTTTTATCTTCACTTGAGGACATTTTTTCATTGCTTTGAGAAACACTGATGTAAGAGAGAAACATCATTGGTTGCCTTTTCATGTGTGCTCCAACAGGGGATTGACCTGTGACCTTTTGGTCTATGGACCAATGCTCCAATCAACTGAGTCACACTGGCCAGGGCAGTTTTCCTCACCATTAAAATGAAGATATGTATTTCAGAGGGTCTCATGAAGATTAAATAAGACATGCATGTAAAAGCACATAGCAGGAGGTCTGACATATAACAAGCTCTCATTAAATGTTGCCAATACTGGTGATGGTGGTCTTGTATGACATTTGGTCCTGTCTAAAATGTCCACAGAGACATTTGGTCTACACCAAACCCATCTACCTAACGCCACGTGCCATGACCAGTTAGGCTACTGAGGCTAGAAGGGTTATTATTGGCAGTACAGCCCCAACACAATTATTGGACCAATAACATATAATAGTATTTTTATAAAGTATATTTTATTGATTATGCTATTATAGTTGTCTCATTTTTTCCCCTCTGCTACCCTCTGCCAAACACCTACCCTTCCCTCCAGCAATTACCCGCTTAGTTCATGTCCATTGGCTGTATATATAAGTTCTTTAGCTTCTCCATTTCCTATATTTTTTTAAATAAAAATTTTATTCATCCATTTTTAGATAAAGGGGAAGGGAGGAAGAAAGAGAGGAAAGGAAACATCAATGGGGCTAGCTCTTGTGCTTCCCACACTGAGGACCCAGCCTGCAAACCAGGTATGTGCTCCAATTGGAAATTGAACCGGCAACCCCCTGGTTCACAGACTAGCACTCAATCCACTGAGCGACACCAGCCAAGGCTCCTATACTATTATTAACACACCCCTGTCTATTTTGTACCTACTAATTATGCTTCTTAATCCTTGTGCCTTTTCTCCCATTCTCCCCACTCCCTGTCTCCATTGATATCCCTCCATGTGATCTCCATTTCTGTGACTCTGTGTCTGTTTTAGTTGTTTGCTTAGTTTTTTTTTTAGGTTGACTTGTTGATAGTTGTGAGTTTGTTGTCATTTTACTGTTCATATTTTTTATCTTCTTTTTCTGAGATAAGTCCCCTTAACATTTCATAAAGTAAGGGCTTAGAGATGATGAACTCCTTTAACTTGACCTAATCTGGGAAGCACTTTATCTGCCCTTCCATTCTAAATGAGAGCCTTGCTAACTAGAGTAATCTTGGATGTAGGTCTTTGCCTTTCACCACCTTCAATGCTTCTTTCCAGCCCCTTCTTGTCTGCAAGGTTTCTTTTGAGAAATCAGCTGATAGTCTTATGGGAACTCTTTTGTAGGTAACTCTCTTCTTTTCTCTTGCTGCCTTTAAGATTCTCTCTTTAGCTTAACCTTTGGCATTTTAATTACGATGTGTCTTGGTGTGGCCCTCTTTGTGTCCAATTGTTTGGGACTCTCTGAACTTCCTGGACTTGTATGTCCATTTCTTTCACCAAATTGGGGAAGTTTTCTTTCATTATTTTTTCAAATAAGTTTTCAATTTCTTCCTCTTCCTTCTGGCATCCCTATGATGCAAATGTTGGTATGTTTAAAGTTGTCCCAGGGGTTCCTAAGCCTCTCTTCATTTTCTTCAAATTCTTGTTTCTTCTTTCTGTTCCAGGTGAATGTTTTTTTCTTCCTTTTGTTCCAAATTGTTGATTTGAATCCCAGCTTCCTTCCCTTCACTGTTGGTTCCCTTTATATTTTTCTTTATCTCACTTTCTATAGCCTTCAGTTCTTCCTTTATTATGTGGCCATACCCGGTCATTTCTCTGAGCATCCTGATCACCAGTGTTTTGAAGTCTGCATCTGATAGGTTGGCTATCTCTGGGTCACTTAGTTCTTTTTCTGGAGTTTTGATCTGTTTCATCTGGCCCATATTTATTTGTCTCCTCAATTTGGCAGCCTCCCTGTGTTTCTGTGTATTAAGTAGAGCTACTTTGACTCCCTGTGTTGGCACACCTGTTACATTGTAAGGGGTGGAGCCTTATGTATTTGCCAGGGTGGCACAACCTGCTTCGAAGCTTTGAGGTGCTGTACATGGGGAGGGGGTCAGAAAGGGAACAATGCTGCTTGCTCGGCTCTCGCCCTGTTTCCAGTCACTTCCCCCACTTCCCACGAGCAACTGGCTGCCTTCTAGTTGCTGCTCTGGTGCTGATTCCATGAGTGGGTGGGTTTGTGTACATTCTAGAATCCTGTGGACCCTTTAGATGGACTGTCCTGAGAGACAGGGAGTTTCTTCTGCTGTCCCAATCCCCACTGGTTTTTATAGCCAGAGGTTATGAGGCTTCATTTTCCCAGCACAAGAACCCTGGACTGCACAGTCTGCTCTGGGGCTTGGATCACTCACTCCCCAGTTGTCCCTCCTGGTTTTTATCTGCTACATGTGAATGAGGGACTGCCCTTTCCACTAGCTGCCACTGCTGCTCCCTAGCTGCCACCACCTTGCTGTACCACACCATGTCCTCTCCACCCTGGCTGCCTGACTCTACTTCTCCTTCCCATCTGTATGAATGTTTCTTCTTTAAATCCTTGTTTGTTGGACTTCCATACAGTTCGATTTTCTGGCAGTTATGATTGTTGTTTTTTTTTTTTTTTGTTTTTAGGTTGGTTGTTATTCTTCTTATGGTTGTGTAAGGAGGTGAAGGGTGTCTACCTATGCCTCCATCTTGGCCAAAACCTCCTGATGGTATTTTTAATGTGTTAATCCTATAAACCAAAAGTATAAATAAACATTATGGGTTGTTTGAACCCAGGGACACTTCTTAAGTGTAGATGATTGTGACAGGACCAAATTTCAAGGACCTTTTGGCATGGGCCAAATGTCTCTGGATGTTTTGGACAGGACCAATTTTCTGCTAATTAGTAGTGGTGGTGGTGGTGATCACAGCTGCAGTAGCAGGAACTGGATGTGAAATGTGAAGGAAAGAATAGAATCAAAGCTAATTCCTAGGTTTTTAGTTCAAATAACTAAAGAAGTAGTGGTATTTTTTACTGAGTTTGGGGACAATGGAAGAAAAGCTGTGGAGAACAACGACATTCTTTTTTGGACCAAAGGGACTTAAGCCTCAAACAGATGATATTAAAACTGTCTTTCAATCACTTATGAACAGATTTCCATTCTTCTCTAAATTACTTCAAACTGTTTTTTGTTCTAAGTAATTTCTTCAGGGAACATGAAAAATTGTTCAAGTAATAATGACATGAATTCCAGAGGTCAAATTACTCTGCCATCGATGGCCATGTAACCCTGGATGAGGCACTGTTTTTAATTAAATCAAGGTAAGCACTGCAGAGATGAACAGCAGCAAACAAAACCTAGACACCAAGGTGGTTCTCACTTGGTTTAGAGAGAAATATTAGCAAACATTAGGGAAGATATATGCAATCAACATGAAATAGGGTAAGCATTGGGGGTTGAGAAATGGCAAAGTACTATCAATTTTAAATGGAGATTTACTGATAAAGTACTCAGACTTGATGATATTAGATTTCTGTTCCCATTCTCAGACTCCCAGTGGTTTAACTTTCCAAGAAAGGGGTAGGTGTGACTCAGGTCTGGCTCCCCAGCTGTACACACTTAGCTTTCATTTAGTTACCGGTTAAACAATTTTATACATAAAATTGGTTTCAAAATTCTTTATATCATAATGTAACTATTTATTTCATCTGAGGCACATTTGGTTTTCATATCTAGCACTTTCCAGAATTTCCCAAATCCATTATGAAATGCTCCAAACCAACTTTAAATCTGAATGGAGGCAGCACATGGCAATTCAAACTAGAACAGGCTAGATCTTAGTAATCAAGTTGGGACCAAAACTCCTGGGGTGCACTCTGTGCTTAAAGTGTGCTGCACTGGGTCTTATTTCTCTTTCCTTAAAATAAATGGTTTACACTCATAGGTGATCATGAGGTTCTATTCTAGCTCTATGATATTTGAATCTAGTAAGCTTCTGTAGGTAAGAAAACTTTGAGTTCTGCTTCTTTTCATTCTTGACAAAGATGAACTATAAATAAGTCACCCACAGATGATTTTACAGATGAGTTTGTAATAATATTTTATTGGGTCAGTATGGAGTGGTTCCTTCTACCACTATGTTGTATAAAACTAACTAGCCATGGGAATTAAACCTATGAACTTCAATCAAACATGCTAATAAAGCTAACTGAAGTGTAACTGGGTCATAAAGGTCATAAAATAATCACATGGAAGTCCAGTATATATATGGTCCACCAACTTCCTCCCACTGCAGAAATAGAGAAATAAGTTTTTTTTTTTTGTGGGTGGAGATAGTTGCTACATTTACTACAGATATTGAATTTCTACAATACTGTTTAATTTCCTTTTTTCTTTTCACCTCTGTCGTTGGTGTCATGCACGAACCTGTTCACACTGATAAAAACTGAAGGATACCAAAACAGTGATGATCAGAGAATTTTAAGTGTGAAGTGTTTTAGCATCACATCACTGTCCTGAAAAACAGAGCCTTGACTGGCATAAACCACTTGTACAGGTAAGACTGATCACTTACTTTTACCTTAAAAGATAACTGTGTAAAAATTCTAACAGAACTAAATTGTTTAATTGTTGAAAACAAATCAGGAAAGGTAGTCAGCATATTATATAGATAATCATTAGTAACTGAAGTCAGAGTTTTTTCATTTGTCAAATTAGCAGAGACACAATGTGTGCATGACCCAAGACAGACACTTTACTAAGATGAATGCAGACTTGTAGACATTTTCTGGACAGCAATTCTGTATATATAATAGGTGATTTTTATTTGATTTCTTAAGCTTGACAGTATTTCCCAAATTTTAGAAAATAATTATCCAACAGTTTTATAACCCAAGTTTATTTTTAAAGGAGAGGTACATAGTAAATACAAGTTTGATATTTGGGAAGCTAAAGATGTGAACTAGTTGTCATTTGTTATGTTGAAGTTCTACAGAGTCTCATTTTCATCGGTCTGATAATGCTAGACTCTGTGAAGGTCTTTTTTTTTTTACCTCCCTTCTCTTTTTAAACATTTGCTAGTGTAGAATAGAAAAGCAAGGCAATGGTAATGAGTAATATGAGATATCAGATGCTGTATGAGTTGGTCTACTTAAAAAAAGGAGTACTATCTATTAATACAGAAACACTATTGCTTTTACAGATTTTAGTATATAATGTATTATCTATACAAGGCTGGGGGGTTAATGTTTTTCTTTAATAATATCATAAAGGGAAGCTCTATTCCCTATAGAAAGTAAAAACTACTTTTATCAGATAAATTTTTCTTAAGAAATAAACTGGCTTATTTTACTTTCTAGTTGACTGATTTGTTACAGTTTAGGTTATATTGTATATTTACAACTAGATATACACTAACTTTGAAGCACATCGACTATTTTCTAAATAAAAATTGCAAAGAAAATGACAAAGATATCAGTAGACATTACTTAAAGGTTGCAGTATTTGAATGTATAAACACTGCAAAGCCCTCAAGCTTTTAAGTCTTTAGGTGTGTATTATTTGGTTTTAAAAATATTTCAAAATTATAATGGGGAGTTTTTTCAAATATACTTTTTCTGTAATCCAAGAGGTAAAAAGACAGCCATGATTCTGAGAGGGATAGAGAGTAAAAAGCCCCGAGGGGCTGGGGGCATATAAGAATCTCAGAGGGCAGTATATAGTAAAAATTTTGTGTTTATCAAAAGAGAAAATATGATAATAAAAATAAGATTGAGAATCCACACTACAGATTATAAAAGAGTAAATAATGTTGAACCTAGAAAGTTATGGTGAAAAATATAGTATGGCACATTCTGAATAGAGCTCATGATTCTTATTTGACTAGAATCCAGTAACTTTTATTATTCCCACTCGAAAGAAATGAGGATATGAGAAAAATAAGAATAAAAAGCACTTTGTATACGACTCTTCAACACTTTATAGATATCCTTTAGAGAAATATTTAAAAATATGACATAAAAGAGCAAAAAGCATACCTGCATTTATGCTGTGATTAAAATAGCTTCTAAAAAACATACACTCCAAAAAACCAAGACAGTCAATTACACACAAAGACACATGAGGGCACTCTAACCAACATGCACAGCAACTATAGTTTTGACATAGAATTTTAAACTTTTTATTCAAGCATGATAGTTTAGCATTAAATATTTGAAATAAGAAACTACTGATGACTGTTGGTGAAGACCCTTGGATTTTGGTGTTTATCCTTGGTTATTACACTTTCCTTCTGTTTAATTCAGGATCCTGCCTCAGTATTTATTTATGTGGAATTAAGTTTACTTCTGAAATACAAAAAGAGACTCCTCTAATTGTGTTAGATTATGGAGAAGTGCTTTGACCTAGCCATGAAAAGAAACCATTTTGAAAAATATTTATGTCAATTAAGGTGATAGTTAAAAATCAGTCTTCTCTCTATTAATGTGGTCACAAAATGCTTTTGTACCACTATCCTTTGGCCAGTATGTATTGCTTGCATTGTGTTAATTTTTTAAAAATTACCTTTCTAGGCAAAAAATCAACTGTTATGTACAAACTGCTTTATAATCTAATATAAGAATTATAAATTCCTCTAGTATAAAATGATAAAACTCAGGCATTTAACTATTTGTATCAAATTTTATTTTTTAGACAAAGGTACTTTAAACAACAATCAACTTTTTGTTTTTATTTCAACTGGACAATTTTGATCATAAAAGGTGAGATGGCAACTGTACTTTTCTTTTCCATTTAATACATTATTTTTTTTAAATCAAGCTGTTTTTATTTTAATTGTTGTTGCAGTACAATTTTCTGTCTTTTACTTCCATCCCAACCCACCCACCCAGCCCTCCCCTCCTCTCTCCCATTTCCACCTACCCCTAGTTTTTATCCATGTGTCCTTTATACTTGTTCCTGTAAACCCTCCCCTTTTCCCCTGAAATTCTCTCTCTTCTCCCATCCCCTCTGAACACTGTCAGTCTGTTCTCTATTTCAGTGTCTTTGGTTATATTTTGCTTGTTTGTTTTGTTGTTTAGATTCCTGTTAAAGGTGAGATCATATGGTATTTGTCTTTCACTGCCTGGCTTATTTCACTTAGCATAATGCTTTCCAGTTGCATCCATGTTGTTGCAAAGGGTAGGAGCTCATTCTTTCTTTCTGCTGCATAGAATTCCATTGTGTAAATGTACCATAGTTTTTTGATCCATTCATTTACTGATGGGCATCTAGGTTGCTTCCAACACTTGGCTAGTGTAAATTGTGCTGCTATGAACATTGGGGTGCATAGGTTCTTTTGGATTGGTGTTTCAGGGTTCTTAGGATATCATCCTAGCAGTGGAATTGCTGGGTCAAAAGGCAGATCCATTTTTAGTTTTCTGAGAAAATTCCATATTGTTTTCCATAGTGGTTGTACCAGTCTGCAATCCCACCAACAATGCACTAAGGTCCCATTTTCTCCATAACCTCTCCAACACTTGTTGTTTGTTGCTTTGTTTATGATGGCCATTCTGACTGGTATAAAGTGGTATCTCATTGTGGTTTTAATTTGCATCTCTCTGATAGCTAGCGATATTGAGCATCTTTTCATGTGTCTCTGGATCCTCTGTATGTCCTCCTTGGAGAAGTGTCTGTTCAAGTCCTTTGCCCATTTTTAATTGGGTTGCTTGTCTTCTTAGAGTAGAGTCATGTAAGTTCTTTATATGTTTTGGAGATTAAACCCTTGTCTGAGGTATCATTGACAAATATGTTTTCCCATACAGTTGGTTCTCTTTTTATTTTAATACTGTTTTCTTTAGCCGTGCAGAAGCTTTTTATTTTGATGAGATCCCATTTGTTTATTCTTTCCTTTATGTTCCTTGCTCTGGGGGACGTATCAGTAAAAATGTTTCTGCATGAAATATCTGAGATTTTCCTGCCTATGTTCTCCTTTAGGACTTTAATAGTGACATGGCTATATTTAAGTCTTTTATCCACCTTGAATTTATTTTTGTGTATGGTGTAAGTTGGTGCTCAAGTTTCATTTTTTTTACATTTATGTTACTATTTTATACAATGCTTTAAAAATACTCAGCTTAAATACCATCTATAACTTTAATATTAAATATCTGCAATTTTGTTCTAGCTCCTGTGACATAATGCAAGAAAATCTGATATCAATGAGTAACAACTCAACATGTATTCAACCATCCATGATCTCTTCCATGGGCTTACCAGTCCTTTATATCTTCCTTTGTGTCATTGGTCTCTTTGGAAATTCCCTTGCTCAATGGGTATTTTTAGCAAAAATAGGAAAGAAAACATCAACTCACATCTACCTAACACATCTTGTGACTGCAAACTTACTTGTGTGCAGTGCTATGCCTTTCATGGGTATTTATTTCCTCAAAGGCTTTCAATGGGAATATCAATCAACACAATGCAGGGTGGTCAATTTTTTTGGGACTCTATCCATGCATGTATGTATGTTTGTCAGCCTCTTAATTTTAAGTTGGATTGCGATAAGCCGCTATGCCACCTTAATGAAAAAGGATTCCATACAAGAGACCACATCGTGCTATGAGAAAGTATTTTATGGTCAGTTACTGAAAAAATTCCGCCAGCCCAACTTTGCAAAAAAACTATGTGTTTACATATGGGGAGTTGTACTAGGCTTAATTGTTCCTGTTATCATATACTATTCAGCTGTGGAGGCTACAGAAGGAGAAGAGACCAGGTGCTATAACCGGAATGTGGAATTAGGAGCCATGATCTCTCAGATTGCAGGCCTCATTGGAACCACATTTACTGGATTTTCATTTTTAGTTGTACTGACATCATACTACTCTTTTGTCAGTCATCTGAGAAAAATAAGGACCTGTACATCCATTACGGAGAAAGATTTGACTTACAGTTCTGTGAGGAAGCATCTTTTGGTCATTCAGATTCTACTAATAGTTTGTTTCCTCCCATTTAGCATTTTTAAACCCATTTTTTACGTTGTACACCAAAGAGATAACTGCAAGCAACTGAATTATTTAATTGAGATAAAAAACATCCTCACCTGTCTTGCATCAGCTAGAAGTAGCACAGACCCCATTATATTTCTTTTTCTAGATAAAACATTCAAGAAGACAATATATAATCTCTTTAAAAAATCTGATTCAACACGTATACAATCCTGTGGTTGACCTCTGAATGGAAAACACCACCAAATATAAAAGTGTCCATATGATTCTACTGGGGACACTAAAGTACATGATCAACAGGTTAGAGCTTGGCTGAAAGCAGGAACCAAGAAAACCTCTTTGGTTTAAAAAATAAATAATCACAAAACTCACTTTACAGTTCCACTTATAATGAAGGTTGAGATGGAAGAGATCAAATGGAGGCAAAAGTCAAGCATACTAAAAGGATCCCACTGTACATGAAGCTAAGAGACAATATTCTATTTAAACTCAACCATGGATGCTCCTACTCAGAACACAGTATTTTGTGACTGTAGGATAAAGAAGCAAATGATATATGACTTTTCTGCTTTCTAGTAGTTAGACTACAAGGGTCAATCTATGGATAGTGTTTTGTTGGTAACTTTAAGAGTGAATAAAAGAAAAAAGTGAATATGAAATTTCTTCAATTAAGTCCTATCTAAATGTATGAATGATACAGAGTAAGAATCCAAGGTTTTATAAACACGTTTATTTGGTATAATCTAGCTCATGTTACTAGGAGAAGAAATAGTCATTAATTCTGGTATTTATTAAGCAGATATTATTTATAAATATGCTTAAATATGTGGATTAGGCTTTGTCAAAATAAAAAGTTAATACAATGTCATTATATGCCAATCTCCATCACATTTAGTATATTTTCCTATGCATTTAATATGATGTTATTAATGACAAATAGTCCTTGGCATGTAGATAACCTTGATTTATTTTTGTGAAATAAATGAATGAATGATAAAACAGTGTGATGGCATCACTGTTGAGAGACTGGTCTCTGGAGCTGGAATCCCTGGGTTCAATCCTAGCTTGACCCCTTATTTAGCTGGACAATTACAGGCAACTTACCCTCTTTAAATGTTAATTTCTTCATTTGTGGAATGGAAAAACACTACATAATTCATAGGTACTATTATTAAATCAGATGATGTTATTGTTGTGAGTAGCTACCATTTACTAAGCACTTGCTATGTGTCAGGCATTCTTTTTCTGTGCTTTACATGTATTATTTAAATCATCACAACCTTAAAGTATGTCAATTTAATGACGAAAAACTGAAGCCCAAAATTTCTCCAATATCTAAGTAAATATTTAAAGAGTAAGCATTTTTTAATGGTTATTTCTTTCTTCCATGTAATCTTGTCAGGCAAATGATGGTGACCATATTCTGTGTCATATGCATTATAATTATTATTTTTTAAAATTATGTTTTTTAGCTTCCTGAAGAGATCATAAGTACCTTTAGAGCTATAGTCTGTTTTCTATTTCTACTCCCATGGTGCTTGTATTCTCTGCTCAGATAAGAACCACACAAAAGAAAGCTGAATAAATGTTAATTATAACTTGTTACTTAGAGATTGCTTAAAGACTCATTTATCCTCTATATGGTCATTTCTTCAGTGCTCAAAAGAAGTTTCAAGTAAGTTCACATAGCACTTCCAAGCCTTTAAACTCATAGCATATTTTGTTTCTGAATTAAAAATTCAGAAACAATTCACTGTACAGATTCCCCAAGGACCACATGATCAATATCACTAGAGGTTTTCCCAACATGTCTGCACAACTTTAATTTAAAAAGAATAGAAAACAAACAGTAAGTGCTTTTTTCCCCTTTTGATTTCAATGTTCAATTGAGAGAAGAAAATGTTCAGAGAAAAGTCTGAAAAAACACATGCTAGCTTCAAATATTTATTGTGTACATTTATTCTTTTATAGTAGCAATCTGATATCTGGCTCATTGACTTGCACAGACAAAGGCAAACCTGGGAACTCCAGGTGACTTCCTGCGTGCTGGCTGTAAACAGAGGTGTCTAAGCTAGTAACCTCATAGACAGGAAAATCACAGAACAGCTCAAAGTTGACCAGGGGAGTTCCCTAAAACATGTAGCTTTTCCACAGGTGTACCAGTAGTTTTATTCTTATATAAGTTATAAAATAAAAACCATTATTTTAAAAAGTCACTCTTTACATCGCTACTACTTTACATAAAATGTAAAAGATATTGCCAACATAGAGTTTCCTGCATTTAAAAAAGGCAGAAATGGAGTTACACAGTATCTCTGTGAGTTGCTCATTCTGACAGAAAACTCCCATTTAATTCTCTGCACTGAGCTTTTTAAACTCATCATGTTTATTATTACACCATACAAGCTTTCTTGAACAGGTGATTGAAAATCATGTTGAATTTTATGTGTGACTGAAGAACTGACTATTTTTAATGTCATGGCAAGTATTTTATATAGAATATCACTTTCTAAATTTTCCCTAAATTTAAAGTGTGGATTCCAGGAAAACAGTAGTTTTAATGTGCCTATGAGTTATAGCCAAACACTTTCAAAAACACTGAATTTTGATTCAGGGCAACAAGAGTATATCTTAAAACAGGTCATGAGAAATGTTCATTCCCCTATTATCCTATCCATAGACACACCTCTCATCAAGGCAAGCTTTCAAACTATCAATCAGGAGCACAAACCATTAAGACTAGACAAGCAAAATTAAGAATAGACTACTCAACCTGGAAGTGAGTTTTTACTCCCTGGGTAGAAGAGGAGGATGTCCACCCTGCTCTGATTTGGTGAGGACTCCCACAGCCTATTCCTGGCCCTACCATGTGCAGGGTGGAGATGTTATTGTATGGACAAATGTGGGAAAATAAGCTGAAAGGAAATCTTGCTTGGCAAAGCACAAAGAGGGCACAGAGGGACACTGGTCATACACCAAGCATTTCAATTGTGCAGCCTAATGCCATAGACCTTCCTCAGACTACTAACAAATTCAAACTGAATTGATATCAGAGGGAAGAGTTACTACAGCTAGAAAGGTTATACATCTGACAGAAAAATAGGTTTTGGCTATAGCATACATGCTTGCTGCCCCTGGCTCAGAAGACGCAGAACAGTGAAAGGATTCACATCTCATTAGCAAAAGAAACAGTTATTCTTTTCTTTTGAAATCAAGGAGTTGATTTTTTTGAAAGGTGGAGTGGGAGAGGAGAAGCACAGCAGTTAGAAATACAAGGTAATTTAAGATGATCTTATAATTCATGAGGTTTTTCAGAAGACAATTATTAAAACCCCACATGAGAGCTGAATGAAATGCAGATTATGCTCAACAACATTCCAAAAGTAATGCAGAAGCTTAACCAGTATGCTTCCTATAATAAAGAACAAAATAAGTCAGTTTTCATTTTAATGAAAATTTCAATTTCTTTATAGGACATGAGGGATTTTTGGGAGCTGTGGTAATGGATGGAAAAGAAATGTCAGCAACTAAGAGCAATAGAGGAAGAAATACTGTAAGAAATCCACAATGCTACAGCAACCAGTAGATAATGAACACCCATTTATAATAAAAGTCTGGCCCAAAGCAGGTGAAAAGAGAACTGAAACCAGAAGGGGACCAAAAGGCAGCCAGACGTGTTCATGGGTTAGCAAGGAAAACCATTTAAGGGAAGCACACACAGAAATGCTGGGTGGAGGCTTCTGTCTGCATCTGTGTAACTGGGTTTTTTGCCCAGTTCTGAGAACTAAAAACTAACATCTCAAACCTCCTGCACACAGGCCCCACTCGGAAAAGAAAGTGATAGTGATAGCAGACTGCATTCAGAGAAGCTGCTGAACTTCAACTTCAGTTATTAAAATTGTGTCAGTAGGTCAGAGAGCCACAGAAAGGTGTCTAGATTGCTTGTCTCCCCACACCCAGGCGATGCACTGTGAGGATGTTTCCAGGAGTTAGGAGAGACAAGAGAACTCCACCAACACTCAGTGCTTAACAGAGCCAATGCAAGCAGGCAAAGAGCCAGGAGTTGCATTTACCTTGACAGCTGTGCCATTTCTTTTTAAAGTACTTTTAATTTAGGGGTGAGAGGAAGCAAAGAGAAAAACTGAAACACAATCAAAGTTTTCACATCCTTTACAAGAAAAAGAGGAATAAAAGGAAGAAGGTGACAGAAGAAAAAGGAATTTTCATGTGTCTGTTAATATATGCCTGTAGGGAGGCAAAGCATGAGAAAAATAACATTACATTATGACTGGGCCTTAACCAGGGGTGATTTTTGTGTCCCAGGGAACATTTGACAATGTCTGGAAACTTTTTTTCACATCTACCTCATTAGTTTCAATGGATACATAATCATTTTTTCCACATATGAAATTATTTGTTTTCTTTCTTTTTTATTTTTGTTCAAGTACAGCTGTCTCTATTTCTCCCCCCCCCAACTCCCACCCACCATAGCCATCCCCACCTCTCACCCTTGATCCTAGCCCCCTGTTGTCCTTGTCCATGGGTCCTTTATACATGTTCCTTGATGACCTTTCCCCCTTTTCCCCTGTTAATCCCTCTCCCACTTCCCTTCTGGTTACTGTCGGTTTGTTCTTTATTTCAATGTCTCTGGTTATATTTTGCTTGCTTGTTTGTTTTGTTGATTAAGGAGATTCAACTTATAGGTGAGGTTTCACTTATAGGTGAGATCATATGATATTTGTCTTTTACCACCTAGCTTATTTCACTTAGCATAATGCTCTCTAGTTCCATCCATGCTGTCATAACTGGGGGAAATGCTATTGGCATCTGGTGGGTAGAGGCTAGGTAGAGGCAAAAATACATAGGACAGACTCACTCCTACAGTAAAGTACCCAAGTCCAAGTGTTACTAGGGTAGCTTCTGGGAAACTCTGTACTATGATAACATGCTTCCCTAAATTTCAAAGGCTTATACAATTTATTTCCTCCAATTTTCATTGGGAACTGCTTCTCCAAATGAATCCATTTCCACTACAAGTCATGTGGCATCATAAACTCAGTTCTAACCTGATACAACAAAAATTTTTACTCAATTATGATGATTTCAAAAAGAAATGCCTACCATGTAAAGACAAAAAGCATTATTTTAAAAAAAAGATTTCATTTATTTATTTATTGAGAGGGGAAGGGAGGGAGAAAGAGAGGGAGAGAAACATCAATGAGTGGTTTCCTCTTGCTCACGCCCAACTAGGGACCTGGCCCACAACCCAGGCATGAGCTCTGGCCGGGAATTGAACCATTGATTCTTTGCTTTGCTGCCTGCCACTCAATCCACTGAGCCACACCAGCCAGGGCAAGATAAAAAGCATTATTAATTAATATAATGCTGGGGACTTTGGAAAACCTAATGCTTTTGGATCAATACCAAGAATTATGAGAAAGAGGAAAAGGGGAAGTAGAGAAGTATAGAGGGAAATGGAGAGGGGAGGAAAGGGGGTGAGGGGAAAATGGAGAGAGGGAGAAGAAAAGAGGAAGAGACTGAGAATATTCTTGGCTCTATGCAACAGGTGATTAAATAATCTGAAAATTTTTAAAAGGAATGAAACATTGCTCTTGTATTTTCTTTACTAAGTATAAAGAAAAATTTCATAAAAACTTAACTATTGATACAAAACTCAAAATCTAATGAAATCTACATACATTCAAGTCATTGATTATATATCTGAATGTGAAGAAAAGCTAAAAGACTGCTTTATTAGTAAAAATATTAACAACACATCAAGTGAAATTTTAAATTATTAGCCACGTGAAATACACTGTTAGTAAAGTTTTATAATGACCACTATGGGACCTGGTCTGGTAGCTCAGATGGTTAGAGTGTTGTCCCAATATACCAAGGTTGGGGGTTTGATACCAGGTCAGGGCACATACATAAATAAGTGGAACAACAAATTGATGTTTCTCTCTTTCTCTCTCTCTCTTCTCTTTCCCTCTCTCTAAAATCAATAAATATAAAAATATAATAACCAGTACATTGAAAAACCTCTATTAAAATTTCCTGAATAAAACTACTTTGGGTTTCTGTTGACACAACCGTCAAAATATATCTGGAATCTAGTTTTTTTTTTGCTGCCTCCATTGCTTCCACTCTAGTTCAACTCCTGTTTCCTTGCTTTCACCCTTGAGTCCCTATTCAATGTATTATCAGCAAAGCAATGTATACTTGACCCTTGAACAACATAGTTTTGAACTGTGTAGGTCCATTTACATGTGGATTTTTTTTTTTAATAAATACAGTCAACCCTTCTGTATCTACAGGTTTTGCATCTGGTGATCCAACCAACTGTGGATCAAAAAGAGTATTTTGGTATTCCCAACTGGAGTTTCCCAACTGTGTATTGAAAAATCTCTTCTCAGTCCATGTTTGGTTGAATCCGTGGATGCAATGGACTGACTCTGGAGTCGTTATACTTGGATTTTTTACTGTGCTGGGGAGTGGGTAGGGTCAGTTATGCTCTTGCTTTAGTGCCTTTGCACTGGGTTTCCCTTTTAGCCAAAACACCCTTCCTTCCCTATCAGTTAGCCCACTTTCTCTGCTCCTTCAAGTCCTTACTCAGATGTCATCTCAATGCGGCCTGCTTTGATCACCGTATTTAAAATTTCAAGTCCTTTTTTTGTAGTCCCTATTCTTTTAACTGCTGCTACTTTATTTTTTTCTGTAGTCCCTTTAACCTTCTAACTTACTATACAGTAGACTTATTTATGCTCATTGATTAGTGTCTGTCTCCCTGAACTAGAAAGTCAGCTCATGTGGGCAATGATTTTTGTCTGTTTTGTTCACTCTGTAGCTCTGGTTTCTAGAATAGTATCTGACACACAATAGGCACTCAATACATATTTTCTGGATGAATGTCTTAAGAAAAATATACCCGCCCTGGCTGGCATAGCTCAGTGGATTGAGCGTGGGTTGTGAACCAGGCATCGCAGGTTCGATTCCCAGTTAGGGCACATGCCTAGGTTGCAGGCCATGACCCCCAGCAACCGCACATTGATGTCTCTCTCTCTCTCTCTCCCCATTCCCTTCCCTCTCTAAAAATAAATAAATAAAATCTTAAAAAAAATTGTATTAGTCAAGTGACTTGCACACAAAAAAAACTTCATTTAAAAAAAAAGAAAAAAAAAAGAAAAATATACCCAAACTGAAAATTACCAAGTAGCATAATGTGAATATTCCATTTACCCATGCAAAATGTATAAATTTTGGGAACTAAAATATAAAGAATGCCATTAATATATGTGCTCTATGTTGAGTCTGCTTGCTAACTGAATAATAGTGCCTTTCCTGGTGGTTTCCTCTTATTCGTTTGTAGTTTGAGAATTACTTTACTCTTCCCTTCCTGAGTATGTTTCTGGGTGCTTCCTCAAAATTATTTGGCATATGCCTTAGAGATAAACTAATTTAATAAAATTCATTGTTAATCTTGAGCCTTTGCACAGACTGTTTCTTTTGCTGGAAATGTCCTTCTGTCTCCATGTAACTACCCCATGAGTCAAGACCAGGCTCAAAAGTGACCTCCTCCATGATATTTCTCTGACTTTGTCTTTTAATGATATTTCCTACCTTCTACCTGGGACAGTAATTATTTGTTTTGCCTGTTTGTGAAGATGGCCACAAACAAATTTTCCTATCTTTGTGTATATATGCAGCTCCAGCAACCAAAAGGTGCAGTCTATCTTTCCTCCTCTCAAATCTACCCTTGTGACCTTTGACTAACAGAATGCAGAGAACATGGTACAGTGTCAATTTTGTGCTGAGGCTTCAAGAGGCCTGACAACTTCCATTTTTGCTCTCTTGTAGAGGGAGGGAGGAAGTGTGTGGGGGGGAGAGAGATGGAGAGAGATAGATGCCATGAATGAGAGACTATGAAGCAGGCCTAGCTAGCTCCCAGCTGTTCTAGTCACTTCAATTGAGATGCCAGAAAAGTGAGAGAAGCCCTAATGGATACTAGCCATGCCACCTCAGCCAACAGCCTGAGAAACAGAACTGAAGAGGCTGCATCAAGCTCTGTCCAAACTGTGTAATTGTGAGCAAATAAATGATAGTTGCTGTTTGAAGTCACTAAGTTTAGCTTTGTGTTGATCTGCAGCAATAAAACACTGCCTCATATCTCTCTACTGAGACCATAATAGCTTCAGGGCTCTAAGCACGGTATTCCGCATGAAGTAGGCACCCAAACATTGGAATGAATCGATCAGAAGGTAAATGAGAAGGTGAAATCAAATATAACTACTTTGGGATTTTATTTGGTTTTGGATTGTCATGATATAAAATACCATGGTTAATCAAAAGCTGACTATATTGCTGAAAGTATTACAATAAAGTATGTTGTCAATCATTATTTATTATATGATGTTGATATAATTAGCTTTGAAGAACAGAATTCAAAATAAAATCACCTCTTAAGCAAAGGCATTTTTTTAAACACAATGTTATTATATAACCTAAGAATCTGTTTTGCCCACTTAAGTTTTCAAATGGTCATTTCTGTCTTGTATATATTTTATATATATCCAAGGAGATATATTTTAGTTTGTATATATCTACTTTCTTGTGTTAATTAAATGCAAAAGAATAACAGAGTATGCTACGACCATTTACAAGTTTGACTCCTTTATCTTCCCATGCTTTTTATTCTCTTTGTTTATGTAACTGAAGAATACTGTTTAAATAAAAGTACCACATATCCAGTGGGTTTCTTAGTATTGACTGTGGATAATAACAGTATCATTTCCTAGCACCACATTTGAAAAGCATGAATAAGATATTTCGTAACTAATTTTACAGTAATGTGTATTTTGCAAATTTCTCCAAAGATTTTTCATTTGCTATTATAACATGCCACTGGATTGTTTTGGAATTGCTTATGCTTTTCCTCAGCTTTTAACCACAAGAGTTTCAGTTAAAATTTCCCAAACATAGTTTTCCTCAAACATGAGCCATGCCAGTCAGGGCTCTACTTGATTTTCTTAAAATACATTAAAGAAGCCAAGCCTTTGATAATATGTCTTGAGGGAAGGAGAGCATTGTGTCTGTGGATGGTGTGCATTAGAGAGAAAGAGGCTAGAGACAAAATATCAGAGCACTGAAAGTGGAAAACAGAGCCAAAGAGACCTCAGAGGCTCTTAGTGATTCAAGGCCTTAGAAGGGGTTGGAAATCAAGAGGAAGATCTCCTTCCTTTCATGTCTCTATGTTTTGCTTAACACTGTTAGAGCCAGGGACTGACAGTTCTCATGAACTTGTTACTGGCATCAAATAGGCAGAAAGACTGAATAATGGTAATACTCGTATTTCTAAGGGTACACACCATATTACATTTATAATGATTTCAGACTATTTAAAAAAATGTGCAAGGAAAATAAAATACTGACTATTCTATACTGCAATACTACAAAATTACAGGTGTATGATAAGTTTTTACTATATAAACCAATTCTTATTCCCCTCCCCCAATTAACTTAGCATAGGATATTGTTTGCTTTTTGTCTGTATGTTGGATTTTTTATTCTTCTCTCACACGTATGTGAAAGAGGAATAACAGAATTTTAGAATGCATGTACATTTTAACAAAAATAAGGAAACAAATGATAAAAAGTACTGTTTTAAGAATTAGTACAGTGACTCTGCAAACATAAAGCAGTTAAATAAGAATGTTAAAGAAAAAGCTGATTATTATCATTATAAGTCAGTTACCCTTCACAAATATTAAAGTTAGTGATAAAAGTGACTTACCTTTACATCCCTGTGAATTATGTTATTATCATGACAATAGCGTAGAGCTTCCAGTATCTGTCTCATATAATGACTGTAGAAAAAAAAAAGAAATATAAAACTGTAAAAAACCCTTTTATTTTTCAAACTTACTATAGAGTTGCCCCTAGTTTGTAATTCCCCCCTTCCTATTTGCTGCCCACAGACACTTTCCATTTAAGTAGACAAGACTTATGGAATGTGAGACTTAATAATGAAAACTTGGCAGACTCTCATAAGTTTATGAGGTTTATGAAGAAATTATGTGTTCTATGTTTTCTAAGATCTCTAAGTCAAAAGAATTTCACATGGTTCATAAGTAAAATAGCTTGCAAACTAAAAATTCAAGTTTAAAACATAAAAAAAAACCAAACGCCAACTATTCTCTGACACTCAGTGAATACTACTTAGTTACACTGGATTGCTATTAAGTGAACAGTGCTTAGAGGTACATTGAGGATCCTGACTAAAGTGTTGGGAGTCTTTTACCTGCCAGCAGATGCTGGCTTTCTTGCCTTATTTCAATTTAACTATAAGGACAGATTTAACAGGAGGGGAGAAAACCCTTATGGCCACAATTTCTTTTTGCAACATAATCAAGTTTTAATTGGGGCATCTGTGAACAAAGCAGAGTTTGTATTGGGCCCAAGTCCTAGGAAGTTGGATTCCTCACACAGCCAACTGGGGTCAGCTAAGGCTCCCCATCAGGTGCAGGAGGAGTTAGCATTTTGAAGAACAGCCCTTAAAAAGTGGTAACAGGGTCTACTAGCAATAGGGTGTGAAAAGAATACTTTATTCAGTATTCCTTTAGAACTTACTTTGACTTCCCTCCATTCTAAAGTTCTTCTGAATTCTTGCTATTCTTTGTCTTTTTCATCTTCTCTTCCTCTGTATTTTATTTCTTTCATATCTTTCTCATTTTTTCTATTATACCTCTTTCTTTCTTAGTTTCCCCTTTTCCTTCCTCAACCGGACATCACATAGAAGTGCAATATACTCAACATTATTTATTGCATAGTATTTACTAAATTTTGTTTTATCTTTCCAGATCTTATATTTTCCACATTTTAAAATAAAAAAGAATTCAACAGAACTCAAAAAATGACTTTGTATGTGTGCTTGTGACTCAACACAAAAAATTTCCTCACTCCTGCTTTAAAATTAAAAGACTTTTCCATCAAGTCCCCTCTTTGGTTGTTACAATTTAACCAAACTCATATGAATGTCCCTTTAATTAGCACATGCATTATTTCATGTATTACAGTTGCCCAGAGGCTCCATTTTTACAAAGAAAGGAAAACAAACAAATCCAAACTGTTTCTATACTTATTGTCTTTTCACAATTGGGTTTTCAGCAGAGAGCTAGGAACATGAAGTTAGTCCTTAGATGTCCCATTTTTCTTGCTTTGCAAATATGCAGATAAGGGGTTGTGGTCACATACTCTGCCTGGGCAAGTGCAGCCTATAATTAAGTTTCTATTTGAGTTAAGAGTTCTTAACTTGGTGGTGTGGCCCTTTCCTGGTTCAAATCAGGCTTTGGAGGAACTGTGACCCCACCCACCCCCCAGAAATGGCAGAAGTCACAAATGTGAAAGTGCTCTGTAAACTCTAAACCATGCTACACAGGTATAAGTCATTATTATTACAATATCATCACTATTGTTAAATTTAGTCAAGGATTTAGGAATAGCCCATTTGTATACCTAGATGTGAACAATGGAGTAGTAAGTTTAAATTAGGTAACATGGAAGACACAGATTATACTACACTATAGACTACTTTGGATAGATGGTACTAAGATAGCCATTTATATCTTTAGCTTAAAGAAAATTCCTCTCTCAAAGCCTTATTTGAAAAAACTCACTAAATGAGCATTTTTAAATCTGAATATCAGCGTATTCAATTATTTGACCCAAATATCATATATCAGAATCTCTGGGGTATGTATGTGGGGGGTAGAACTGTTTTCTTCCTAGATATTACAGATTTAAACTGAGCTTTCTACACACTCCCAGTCATGACCCCGAGGAGGCTCTGCATGTGAACAGTGTACAAGCAGGCAAAATAGAGAATTGAAATCCACCCACATGTTCCAGAGAGTTCCTGACTAAACTTGAATCAAAGAGCTCCAAATCATGAAGCGTCATGGTGGCCTATACTTTCAGAGAAAATCAGCAATTTATGGTTTATTTTCATCTTCCTTAAGGATCAGGAATGATGAGAACTCTGAAGAAGGAAAGAGCTGGCCAGCAATCTGCTCACTTCCTTTGGAAGGAGGCATTTTAGGGGGTGGTGGGGTGGTGAAAGAAAAGAAGGGAGGTGACTGAGTCTACTTTCCTTGTGAACTGCGGGTAGAAAGATTAACGTTCTTTACTAGGCAGAAGAGAAGTTATCTCTGAAATGCCCTTAAAGATTATCTGTAGTAAAGAGAGCCTAGGCTCTTTGAGGCATGGATGGCTTTCTAGATGTCATATAAACTATACAGCTCTCTGGGTATACAGTGGAGAGGTTTTATATTGAAATGCTCCCCTCTGTGTGTGGAATCCTACAAACCTCATGCAGAGGCTTCATCTGTTCTGGGCCAGACGTGAATTTCTGATGCAGGAGGGAAAGATGCGGGAAGGAATGATGCAGGAAGCTGCCCTTGAAGGCTCAGACCTTTTTCTGCTTCAGTTGAGCCTTTTGATTGCTTGTATCTTGTAGTTATTTGTAAAGCTTGGTACTGAGTAAGATCTCTGATTTGTGAGACTATGATTTCATAATTTGATCCTGTATGTTAGCTTACTCTACAGCTCATCAACCCTGAAAGAACAGAGGTAATCACTAATTGGGTGGTAAGGACTGAACAGAGTTTTATTTTATCCATGCTCTGCTGCTCCTCTTGAAGCTCAGCCAGTTGGAGAAAAACAACATTATCAATTTGATTACTTTGTGTCTCAGAGTCTTCCTGCAGTTGGTCTCACTAGAATACTGATGTAAGCTGAAATTTCCCAACAATGAATCACAGAATCAGAGAGGAAGGGAGGTTAGAAGTCATCTAGTTTAACACTCTAACCAAAAAGAAGGATTTACGTGCCCTTGTTACATGGTCTTTGATTCTCTGCAATAGGGAACATACATAAGCACTTTCTGAGGCTGCCCCATCTCTTCCATCACTTTTAGGAAGGGTTTTTAATAAATTACGTCAAGCCTCTCTTTTTGCATTGTCACATGCTGGTCCCAATGTTACTCTTTTCTGGTCTATTCTGGGAAATTCCTTCCACAAAATCATCACTTCAACAGTAAATATAGGTAGATTTTAAAACCAACAGGCTTTCATCAGATGTATATAAACCCCTACTTTTTCTATAAATCTTGAGATTGGGAGACACCTCAAGTCATTTCACATATAACATCATCTCTACATGCAACTATTCTCACCATCCTGACACCCAGCCCAGTAGCAGTGACAAACTTGAACTTAAGGAAAAGCAATACAGGTGAGCAGGAACAGAGTAAAAGTGGGGCTGGTTTAACATCAAACCTGCCAGCATATATGCCAGGGACCCCAGTGTTATTGTGCTTCAAAAAGGAAAAGGTGATCTTCTTCCACCAAGCTTCACTATTTTATAAAATCAACATTCATAATTTTTAGTTTTTCCTATTTGATGCTGCTGTTGAAAGTACAAAAGGCAAGTTACTTCAACTTCTTGAAGAAATAAATATAAACAATGATATGCAAAAGTCTGAGAGTTTCATGTAGTTGGATAAAGTGGTTACCACTATTGCCATAAGAAAAATTAAGATGCCATTGACTATTTTTGGTATTAAAAATGCTTTTTAAGGACTTCCGGCCAAGATGGAGGCGTAAGTAGACACACTGTGCCTCCTCTCACAACCAAAAGAACAACAATTTAAAAACAAAAAACAACCAGAACTGACAAAAATGAACTGTATTGAAGTCCAACAACCAAGGAGTTAAAGAAGACACACTCATCCAGACTGGTAGGAGGGGTGGAGATGCACAACTGGGCAGAGAGGACTTTTGGTAAGGTGGTGGCTGGAGGACCCAGCAAGGTGGTGGACTGTGGGGTGGGGTGGGCAAGGCTGCAGCAGGTGGACTCAGCAAGGCAGTGGATTGTGGACTGGGTGGTCCCACACTTGCCTGCAGATACAGCAGGAGAAACAACTGGGGAGTGGGAAGGACTGTGCAACCCAGGGCCCCAGCATGGGGAAATAAAGCCTCAAACCACTGACTGAAAACACCTGTGGGGGTTGAGGCAGCAGGAGAAACTTCCAGCCTTACAGGAGAATCCGTTGGAGAGACCCACAGGGTCCTAGAATGTACACAAACCCACCCACACAGAAATCAGCACCAGAAGGGCCCAATTTGCTTGTGAGAAGCAAGGAAGTGACTGAAATCTGGCAGAGAATGGAGCAAGTGCCACTGTTCCCTCTTGGATCCCTCCCCACATGCAGGGTCACAACACAGCAATGTGGGTTGCCCTGCCCTGGTGAACACCCAAGGCTCTGCCCCTCACTAAGTAACAAGCACATCAAGACAAAAAAAAAAGGCCAAACAAAAGAACAGATCAAAACTCCAGAAAAATTACAACTAGAAAATGAAGAGATAGCCAACTTATCAGATGCACAGTTCAAAACACTGGTAATCAGGATGCTCACAGAATTGGTTGAATTTGGTCGCAAATTAGATGAAAAAATGAAGGTTATGAAAAGTGAAATAAACAAAAATATACAGGGAAGCAACAGTGATGGGAAGGAAACTGGGACTCAAAACAACAGTGTGGACCAGAAGGAAGAAAGAAACATCCAACCAGAAAAGAATGAAGAAACAAGAATTAAAAAAAAAAATGAGGAGAGGCTTAGGAACCTCCAGGACATCTTTAAACATTCCAACATGCAAATTACAGGGGTACCAGAAGGAGAAGAGGAAGAGTAACAAGTGGAAAAGTTATTTGAACAAATAATGAAGGAGAACTTCCCCAATCTGGCAAAGGAAATAGACTTCCAAGAAATCCAGGAAGCTCAGAGAGTCCCAAACAAGTTGGACCCAAGGAGGAACACACCAATGCACATCATAATTACAATACTCAAGACTAAAATTAAGGAGAGAATCCTAGAAGCAGTAAGAAAAAAGGAGACAGTTACCTACAAAGGAGTGCCCATCAGACTGTTAGCTAATTTCTCAAAAGAGACCTTATAGGCAAGAAGGGGCTGGAAAGTATTCCAAGTCATGAAAGGCAAGGACCTACATCCCAGATTGCTCTATCCAGTAAAGCTTTCATTTAGAATGGAAGGGCAGATAAAGTGCTTCTCGGACAAGGTCAAGTTAAAGGAGTTCATCATCACCAAGCCCTTATTATATGAAATGTTAAGGGGATTTATCTAAGAAAAAGAAGATAAAAAATAGGAACAGTAAAATGATAGCAAACTCTCAATCATTAATAACCACACCTAAAACAAAAACAAAAGCAAACTAAGCAAACAACTAGAACAGGAACAGAAACACAGAAATGGAGATCACATGAAGGGTTATCAACAGGGGGGTGGGAGGGGGAGAGAGAGGGAAAGGTACAGAGAATAAGGAGCATAGATGGTAGGTAGAAAATAGTAAGGGGGAGGGTAAGAATAGTATAGGAAAAGTAGCAGCCAAAGGACTTATAGGTACGACCCATGGACATGAACTAAAGGAGGAGAATGTGTTTGGGAGAGGGTGTACAGGGTGGAGGGGAGTGAAGTGGTGAAAATGGGACAACTGTAATAGCATAATCAATAAAATATATTTAAAAAATAAAAATGCCTTTTAATTCTGAAGCATAATAAAGAATACAAATTTAAATAATTTACATAATTTAAAATTATGATAAGAACTGCAAATAATAGAAAGATGGGATTAAAAAAACCATAGAATGTGCTTGAATGAGCATGCCACAAAAGAAAAGAGGATATTTAGCTTCAGGTCTACCATGAATACATCAGGAGTTTATAGAAGAAATTATAGTTTATGTAAACTTTCACTTGCTTTTTTTCTCTAGCTCCAGTAGTACAAAATAGCAGCTACTTCCAATTGAGTATATTCTTTATCTTGTGCTATAGCTATGGCTTCTCCATCTTCTGGGACTGGGGTCTGGGGCCCTTCCTTCTCAGGTTAGGAGGAGGCAGGGTAATGAATTTGAATAAAGTCAAGCCACTCTGAGCTCAAAGCCGCATTAGGTAGTCTTCTAAGTTGTTTCCAGGTATATCTGTCCATGATGCCATACTTACAAAAAGAATGATAGGAGTGAGGAAGTTAAAATCATTTAATGGTAGCTGTTTCTTAAATAGAAAATTTTCATAAATCCTAATGGGTTTGAACCCTTAAACATATTATGGTTGGTGAATGAGGAGATATGCTGTATCCTAGTAATTTATGTACTTCATGAATTAAGAAGGCAACCCATTGAAGTAGGTATTTATGATATGGTTGTCACCAAAGCATGAAGCTTATTACTCTAAATCTATAAGCAAGTAGCCCAGTACATGGCTCCTGCAATTTTTCATATTTACTCCTTATTTTGAGCTATAGTTCTATACAACAACTCCTCCACTTAGGACAGTAGTCACCATTTGACTAGGAGATCACACACTGGCCTGAGGCAAATATATTCAGCAGAAAAATTGTGCTTTTATTTCTGTTCCTTCTATTGTTCTGTACTTTTCCTCAGATTAACTGGTCACATAGCAAGTTGCTATCACTAAAAGGTGAACCAAAGAACTAATGAGGCAATATCTGCCAAAAGACAAAAATCAAACACACAAAAATTCCAAGTTCAATTCTACATGGTTCCTAAGCTATCAAATCCTCCCTTGTATAAAAGTCATGAGGTGGGGGGGCCGTGGGAAACTGGGTGAAAAAGGTGAAGAGACTAAGAAACACAAATTGGAAGTCACAAAATAGTCATGGGGAAGTAAGTAAAGCACAGGAAATATAGTCACTAATACTGTAATAACTATGTATGGTTCCAGTTGGGGTACTGGAAATATTGAGGGAAATACTATGTAAAGTATATGATTGTCTAACCACTAAACTGTATACATGAAACCAATACAAAATAAAATTGAAAGAAAAAAGTCATCAGGAATGGGAGAAATAGCAGTATCGATGCAAAACTGTAAACTCGTATTAATAGATAAATTCATTGTTCAGTATTTTGCATGTGCATTTACTATTTGGTTCCACTAATGCACATGAAAACAGATATGCTCTTTGTAGAAAAGAGTGGCAGCATGCTTATCATCAGTTTAAAGAATAGGCCACTTCATGCAGGTTTTTTGTTTTGTTTTCTCATTTCTTTCTTTTACATGTACCTTGACCTCTGGGGGGTAGATACAAATTACATACCTGGCTACAGCTTCACTGTATACAAAACCAGCGTCAGCTCTTTTTACGATTTCAAAACATAGATCTGCTCCATCCATACTGCAGAGAAATATGAAAAAGAATATAAGAAAAGAGGAAATTTCAGGACGAAAACACTGAAAGTGAATACATTGTAACTAAGTTATTAATCGCTTTACAGCTAATGATTTTAATAATTAGTTAAACCTTTTTTCCCTTTCAATGAAAATTAGACAGAAATTATAAAGGACATTATAACCACTTTAACACTGAGAATCTACAGGGAAAAAAACAGGAAGAACAAGTACATGGTATCATCAAATAACTTAAAGTATGGAAAATTGACTATAAATTTTCTTTAGGTTATCATAGCAAGAAGTCTCAGAAAAGGGCAATGCTGGGATTATGGGCACAATTTTGAATCAAATTCTGAAGTTATCATGATCTAATCAAGTAATTTAATATCCTAAGAATACAACAAGAATTCTAAAACATTTAGCTATAGTTTTATCACCACTAAATGGGAATTCCAGCTACATACTGTGGAAGAAAAAAAATAGTTAGCTAATCTACAATTTATTTTTGTTTGTACTTCTATTACCAAAGTTAATTGCTACAAACATATTCTAACAGTGATGTGTTGATGACACACTGTCTCTTATCTTGCCCCCAAACTTATAATGATTCTCTTTTTCTTACCGGATCAGTAAGGCCTCTTGTTGTCTTGGCTATACCTTGCTTCTTCTACTTAGCCTAATGACTTTTCAAGAATACCTCACTCTCTAGGCACATGAGTCTTATCACTACTCCCTGAATATACCATTTTCTTTCTTCTTTTTCTTTTTTAGCCACATGCTTCTGCATACATTACTTCTCATATTCAAAACCTACCTTAATTCAATCCCACCTTCCTCCAAAAGTCCCCCAAATGATTAACAGCCACATTAAGTCCTTCTTTTGCTTAAATTCTATAACCTCTTCTAGCCCATATCATAACATTTGGCAGTTACACATAAACACATATATGTGTATACATGGAATTTTTGCCAGATCATTACATATATTAATGCAATTATTTAAATATTAATAGTTAACATTTTCATATTTTAAGGCTTATAAAGTATTCTGAAATTCAGTATCTCATTCATTCATTTATTCAGTAGCTCAGGCTCCAATGTATCTTCTGCAGGTGCTACACTGAGGAAATAGAGACTTCTAGAAGGGAAAGTAAGGGGACTAACTATTCATTAGTATAACTAATAATTATTAAATAGTTATAATAATAATCATTACTAATATTACTATTCATCAATGATCATGGGAAGAAATTCTTTGTTATAGCTCCTTTCATTCTTATAATTATCCCATGAAGTCAGCATCCTTCTCATTATCAAATAATTTGTTTAAGTGAGTAGAAAAGTATGTGACAGGGACAGGATTCAAATGCCTGTCTATCTATGTTTAATGCTCTTTCCATTATCTAGATGTATACCTGCTGGGTGTGCAAGGACTAGATGCACATACAAGGGGGGACCCCCCCCAAAACAGAATTATCTTCTAGAGGGTGGGCCCCTTATAGTACAGGCTTCCCCCACTATGTGAGTGTTTTAGGAACCCATTTGTATCAGTGTCCCAGCTGGCATTATTGTGAGAGGCTGTGTTCAGTTTCAGTGAATGTTTTTTGAAGACTCTTTCAATGCATTTGTCCATTTCATGATGGGTGATTTTATGAACATACCTGCCCACATGGCACTGAGTGTTTAGCAGTTCTTGGCCAAAAATGGCATGACCCTTGTGACCCACCTTCCCTATTCACCCAATCCCATCCTGAGCAACCTTTTAATTATTTTCCCAGATAATAAAAGTCCTCAAAGAGGGGCAAAGATGTCAAAAGCACTTAAAGTCATCAAAATCGAGGAGTTCAAAAACTGTTTTGAGCAGTGGAAAAAGTCTCACTAGGTGTATTGCATCAAAAGGAGAGTACTTTAAAGGTGACTGAAATTAAAACATACAAGAATCAATTTATAATTTCTATAAATATATTCCCTTTCTGGGGAGACCCCTTCGTATTCAAGCTCAACAGTTCAAACAATAGCATAAAGTCCTAAAAAACTAGTATTTTCATACTTTTGACATGTTCACCTCCGATTCCCAGCAGAAGACTGAGCACACAGTAAATATTTAATGAACAAATGATTATGTTATTTAAATCTCGGTGTGGTTTTATGTAAATGAAAATACTTTCACATTTATACAAGGCTTTACAAATTTCACCTAGTTTCCATTTCACAGCTAATGAACATTTTCCAATGTCAAATAGAATTCTTCACCAGAATAATTCTTACAATGGTCTAGGCTACTCTGAAGTATAGCAGCGTTTATTTTCTCCCACCAGAAACAAAGCCCAGATGAACATGACCGTGCATCTTTGTGAACTACCCTGATCACCTACTATAGTAAAAGTGCTACAAGTGGAGTTATTAGGTCAGGGGTCACACACAATAATACATTTGATATACATGGATGGAAAAACTCTAGCAATCTATACTGCCACTACTGAGTGCGAAAGTGTCCTTTCTTCTATCTTGCCTCCACTAGGATGACTTTATTTTTAATTTTTGCCAATTAGGAGGGTAAAAAGTCATTTGTGATTGCTTTAATTTGTATTTCCTTGACTACCAGAGAGGCTGAATATTTTTAATTTCTTGTATTGTGGAGAAAAAGGATACAATTTTTAAAGCTGGCTGCAGTTTAAGCTGGCTGGTTGATCTATTAGGACTAAACACACCTCACTCTGAGAAAATTATACTTTTGTTTAGGTGTTTTCCTTTTGAATTGTGAAATGTGAGGGTAAGCACTATTCAACATAGATGAGAAAGCAGTTAGGCAAAGGGGAGCGCTAAACTAATTGTATCTGTCCTGAGAGCTAGAGGAAGGCTTATGGAGGGACCTGAAAGAGGGAGACAGAGTCTTTAGGGTAGGAGAAGGTAGTAAGGTGGTGAGAGGCCACCCTATGGAGGAAACCAGTCAGTGAGAAGTAACTGGAAATTATTTACTGCACTGTGCTACAATCATTGGCATGGATCAATCCAATTTTTCTGGTCATATCTGAAATGTTAGCACTTGAAATCACAATCTCTAAACATGCACACACAAAGACACACACACACACACACATCAAGCAACATAAATGAAAGTAATCTATAGTTACAGTGGAAAGGAATCTTAAATCAAAATAACTGCCAACCTAAAATTCTACTTTCACCAAATAATCCTTAAAAATTAGGGTAAGAAAATTCTTTCAGATAAGCAAAAAAAAACCCAAGAGAATTTGCCACCAGTATGCCTATTCCTAAAGGAAATACAAAAGACTATTCCTCAGAAAGAGAAAAATGAAGTCAAATAAAAACTCAGAGATGCAGCATCATGAAAAACATAAAATGTGGTAAATATGTAGAGCCATGCACCACTTGACTATGGGAATATGCATGAGAAATACGTTGTTAGGCAATTTCATCATTGTATGAACATCCTAGAGTGCATATACACAAATCTATATGGTACAACCTACTACACACCTAGGCTACAGGTGTGACTGTAGATGAATCTAAATGAACAAGGACTGTAGAAAACCATTTTCTTACTCCTCTACAGTGAAAGACTGTAAAACAGTAACTATTCTGAGAGACAGAGAAGACTGATTTTAAATAAAAATACTTGACAACAATAATGTACGTCAGGAGGCATACTGCAAGTTCTAGGACAACCACTAAATTCTGCAACTTTTTTTAAATGTCAGGGGCCTTTTGTACTCTGAAAGATTACTGAGAGCCCCAAAGGGATTATGTTTCTGTGGGGTTTATCTATCAATATTTGCTCACAGTGGTGGATACAAGTTTTCCAAAATTCTAATTTTCACTTGAAAGTTTGAATTTCATCACTGGCAACAACTACTGTGAGTTATTTCCCTTGAAGCAGCAGGCTTACTTTGCTCATTTTTGAATAAATGTCTGTCACATACCCAAATTAGCATAACTGTTGGTTTGTCTGTTAGTCATTCTTTCAAGTAAAAATGGTGTTACACACACACACACACACACACACACACACAGTTCACCTTATAACTCAAGAAACTGCATAAATGCTTTTTCTAAGGCCCCAAAACATTTAAAGGATTGTAATCACTCAGAGTATGTTTCCTAAACACAATATAGTTATGTTAGAAATAAATTAAAAAATAACTAGAAAATCTCTAAATGCTTAGAAATTGAGAAATGCATGCTAAATAACCTATTACTCAAAGGAAAAATCTTATTAAAATTGGAAAATACTTCTAACATTAATGATAATGAAAACAATACATACCAAAACTCATGCAGGACTGAGGCATTACATTTCCTGACTGGGGTGGTGCCATTATTAGACCAGCAAAATAGAACTGACTGAAAGGAGGGGGTGGGGCATAAATCTAATCTAAATCTCCCAGTATGAGAAAGTTATTTTGACACACACTCTTCAGTGTTGGAGAAACTTTTCTTGAATTAGGTAATCCACCACTGATGGAAAACCACATCAATACAATCTCTCTGGAGGGCAATTTTATAGTGTTTGACAAGTCTTAAAAATGTACATGTCTTTTGACCTAATAATTTCATTCCAAGGGAAATAATCAAGCTATTTACTAAGTTTTAAGGACCAGATTTAGCATAACTATCGATAATACAGAGAAGTCAGAAACAACCTAGATGTCCAATATAGGAGAATGGTTAAGTAAATTGTGGTAAACCCACAGAGCAGAATATTATGCTGCCATTAAAATGATGCTACAGAAGTATATTTATTGATATAGAAAGATATTCACAATATATTAGGATATATAAACATATAATCTGCATACACATGTATATGCAGATACAATGAATAGTTTTTAAATATTAGAGTGTTAAAGAGTGGGTGGGTAGGACTGTATTTGGGGTTTTTTTTGTTTTGTTTTTACTTCCACTTTTAAAAAATGAACAGGTACCACAACTTCTGTTGTACTAAAAATAGTTCTAAGTGTTAAACAAAATCAAAGAATCCCT